TTTTGCTAAAATCTCAATGATCTTGCCAGTCTCTGAGATTCTTGCTTATTGTCAGGGTCTATGAGAGATAATAACGCAATTCGGAGTTTGGCGTCTGTCCCTGGTTGCTTAAGCCCACGTAATCCCAACACATTATACATTGGGATGAACCTGAGATTTTTATGTTTATTAGTCAAGCTCTGTTTGCATATGTGTGACTACATGGTGCTTAACTCTTTTGCAGCTTTTTTCTCTGATGGAGGTGTGATATCACAGTATTGTGATATCACAGTATTGTTATATCATCAACGGAGTTCAAGAAGTGGTTCTTATGATTATCAAATCCTAGTCCCACTTCACTATATTATAATATGCTGGCAAATTCAAATACCCTTGGTTTTCATTCCAGGAGAATAAAAATTTCTGCCAGGCTATACTGTGAGACTGTGATTTAAAAAGAGAAGGGTTTAGCCAAAACCATAATATACCAGTACCACTGGACTCCGCACTTGCTGTACCGTTTTTCCTCTATCAGGTACTGCTGAAGCAGTTGGAGCAACCGCCTTGTTTAATCTTCGGTCCCCTGTTAGGAACCTCCATGAGCTATCTGCCTGAAATGCGGGCTACGCTAGATCATTGGAAGGAGACTTAGTGGAAAGCAACAGTCATGTCTCATCTATTTCTTTTATTACCAACGGTGATCTTCAGTTGCTCTCCTGGACAGAACGAGAGAGAGGACGTGCAGTGCCTGGGGCCAAGCGGAAATGCAGACAGAGCCCTGTTCAAAAGGGGGAAAAGTTCAGTTCCTTCTCTTGCAGTCAAGTCACTGCCTCTCACCTGGTCATGACGTTTTGCTTTGTTTATGCCCTTTTTTACTACTAACTACTCCATTGTGTATTAACTAAAACAAGGAGATTCTCTTACCTATCCACAGAGTAATGAACAAATGAGGAAATCAACAGTGACAAAATATTATTTATTCTAAAGAACTAATTTATTCCAATAATACATTTTATGTTATTCAAACCTAAAAAAAACAAAAGCAGTTCACCTATTTTTCACACCCTTAACTTCCCATCTCTAGCAATTACCAATCTGTTCTTTGTATCTATGAGGTTGGTTTAGGGGCTTGGGGTTTTTTTTAGATTTCACAGAGAAGAGACATACAGTTTGTCTTTCTCTGTCTGATTTATTCCACTTAGCATAACACCTTCAAGGTTTCTAAATTTACCGTTTAATGTCATACTTCTTTGAGCACTGGGATAATTGTGAGGCAAGTGCAGACTCTCCTTGAGGTGCCTTCTTGGCAATTTGGGGGTGCATGTGCATGCTAGGTCTGGGGAGCTGCTGGCCCCCCTTCTCACGAGCCACAGGAGTGCTGGCAGAGGACAGGAAGCTGGAGCCAGGCACTTTCCCGTGGGTGGTCGCCGCACAGCAGGCAGGCCACGCCCAAGTGCATGGCAGTCCCCACACCTGATGCGCATGTCGCTGGGAGCGGGCAGGACTCCTGCACCCAGCACAGTTCATGTTGCACAAACAGTGATGAAATGCCCCCATGTCGGCGAAGAAAATGATTTAGCTTCTTGGTTTATTATGAAGAAAATGTTGGGTTTTTCTTTGTTTTATCTCATTGCACAACAGTAATTTCCTCGACTCGTTTCCTTTCCTAAGGTTAAATCCTCTTGAAATGATCTAACTCTGTTCCTTGAATCATAGTCACAACAGTTTTAGTTTCTAAGAAATAAAACTGATGGTTTGAAGGTCTCTTTCCTCACTTCCAGTATAAGAGGGTTTAATTAGTATTTTTTGAGGTATTTTTAGCTCTAAGAAGAATCAGCACTCATAAAACACTATATAACAAACATTAAAATACATGTAGATATTACACATTATTTTGTTTAAGTCCCCTAAAAACCATTTAACTGTAATATTATTGTTATTATTCCAATTTTCTAGTCAAAGGAATTTAGTTTACACACCTAGTTGGAGTAGGCTCAGATTTCAAATCCCTATCTGCCTCATAGCAAAATCTCGACTAAAGTATTGCTTCTGATTCAACATCCCATGAGCCCATGACTATAAAATTATTCAGTATTTGCAATGAAGCAACTTGGAGTGTCAATTAATTGGGGATTGTATTATACTGTCTTAAATTTTTAGTAGCTTGGTTTATATTCCTTCTCTTAGAGCAAGAATATGTTAACTGTGAACCAAGAAAATGGGTTACATTTCCCTGAGTAGCTCTATTTACCCTCTATTACCATATAACAGCTGATCCCAGGGAAAGTTTGTAACTACAAGGAAATAATAATTACTGTCATATTAGTACAATACACAAGACACATGTCTGTAATAGCATATTTATTAAAATGTGATAGTTTATTTTAAAGTATATTTTATTGATTATGCTATTATAGTTATCTCAATTCCCCCCCCCCTTATCCGCCCTCCACTCTGAACCCCCACCCTTAGTTCATGTCTATGAGTTGTACATATAAGTTCTTTGGCTTCTCTTGTTTCCTATACTATTCTTAACCTCACCCTGTCTATTTTCTACCTACCAACTATGCTTCTTATTCCCTGTACTGTTCCCAGCTTTCCCCCTCCCACTCCCCACTGATAACCCTCCATTTGATCTCCATTTCTCTGATTCTGTTCCTGTTCTAGTTGTTTGCTTAGTTTTTGTTTTTGGTTTTTAGGTTCACTTGTTGATAGCTATGAGTTTGCTGTCATTTTACTATTCATTGTTTTTGATCTTCTATTTCTTAGATAAGTCCCTTTAACATTTCAATAAGGGCTCAATGATGATGAACTCCTTTAACTTGACCTTATCTGAGAAGCACTTTATCTGCCTTTCTATTGTAAATTATAGCTTTGCTGGATAGAGAAATCTTGGATGTATGTCCTTGCCTTTCATGACTTGGAATACTTCTTTCCAGCCCCTTCTTTCCTGCAAGGTTTCTTTTGACAAATCAGCTGACAGTCTGATGGGAACTCCGTTTGGGCAACTCTCTCCTTTTCTCTTGCTGCTTTTAAATTTCTCTCCTTATCTTTAATCTTGGGTAACTTAATTACAATGTGCCTTAGTGTGTGGTTCCTTGGGTCCAACTTCTGTGGGACTCTCTGGGCTTCCTTGACTTCCCGGAAGTCTATTTCCTCTGCCAGATTGGGGAAGTTCTTCTTCACTTATCTTTGCAAATAAGTTTTCAATTGCTTCTTCTTTTCTTCTCCTTCTGGTACCCCTATGATTCAGATGCTGTCTCCAGGTAGATAGTGTCAGAATTGAGTTCAATTGTAGGACACCCAGCTGGTGTTAGAGAATTGTTTGCTGTGGGGGAAAAAAACCCACACATCTGATATCAGAGTATTGTAAGCGTGGTAGTAAAGTGAGAGTAAAAAATGAACACAGGGGGAATGCAGGTTTTTCTAAATAGATGGTATGAAAGAACAACCTCCCGCCTCATACACATACAACTCTCTCCAGACCCAAGGTCATTACTGGATACCTCAAATGATATTGTTTCAAGCAACTAAGCTTGTGACAATTTGTTATGCAGCAATAGATCATTAATACACATGGGAAAATTCCCTGGAAAGCAGGGACTTGTACATTAAATAATTCTTTTTCTGTTATGTCTCATAAAATTTTTTTGGTGACGTGTGCCCACCAAAATATTATTTATTCTATAAAAATTGTGGTGATTTGTGGCTTCCTAGAAACTGTTTGCCCTATAACACATAAAAAGCATACTCAAACTTCCTACAGGACTTTGAGGACCATAGCAACATGCCTTTGATTGCAGTCATTTCATGAGATACTAAATTTCACGTGACTATAATCAGTCCGATTATTTTTGGAACCACAGCACATAGCATAAGGTTTCCCATGGAATAGAATCTTCATAAATATGCTTTATTAAATCAGTGAGGAATGTCTATATTTAGTTTGTTTATAGAAACAAAAATTCAGAGGCTCTATTAATCAACACGATCATGACTACACACTTTATAGCACCTAAGTAATTATAATTTTACTAACAGAGCACCCTGATTTGTTTGGTTTAAATATTTCTGCAATTATATTGACTTGGTGTTTTGTGGCTTATTTCAAACAATTGTAGCTGCAACCATCACCAGTGATGTTCTTAGAGTAAAGCCTTCAACAGTGTAAAAATATTGTTGCCAAGCATTGTGCTGAAGAGCCCCTAGATTTCCTTGTTGTATGAGTCTCTGTTAAATCCCAGTTGTGGTTTCCTGAGTTCACCGGAGGCCTCCTATGCCATGACTGTGGTTGCCGAGTGAGCTCGGTGATCCTTGGCTGGAAGCCCCGGGAATACTGAGGGCTTCCCAGAGGGTGCCTTTCCTCGTGAGCAGGGAGTTTCTGCCTTGCCTGTATCCCACCTGTCTGAGAAAATGCCGCCTTTCCTGGTGTCCCTTGTCTCTGCGGGCATCAAGGTCCTGTGTGAAAGAGTGTATCTGTTTTCACATGAGACATTTATTCACTTCCCCTTTTCTGGTTGCAGCCATGGGATACTGCATTGAGATGGGGAAGTTGTGGTTAAACACTGAATTGACAGAATAGGGGCAAATAAACTCTTATTCATCATACGTTGGAAGTCCACCTGATCATTTCTACTATGCACAAGGTAATATTAGGGTCACTGGTCAGAATTCTGTGGCATCAAACAGACTTGGAAGGAATGGGGAGAGACAAGAGAGACACCTGCTAAAGAGGAGGAAGACGAAGAATCCAGCCTGAGTGTTTTCTCTACTTTGTCTGTGAAGTTCATGCTCTCAGAGAAGGACGTTAGTTTGCTGAGAAGGGAAGAGAAGCCATCAGGCTAGAGCAGTTTTTCTAGAAGGTGTTGGAGGCACAAAAGATGTTGAGGCACAAAAGATGCTTTCATGTAGTACAGGGATAATATTAAATATAAAATAAAAATACTGATGATGTTCTCATGGGTAACATTGCTTAGAATGAGGTTACATTTTTTAAAAGATTGCTTTTATAAAAAAAAGAAAAAGCAAAGAAGAACAAAGAGAGATATGATATCTGACAAAAATCCAGGAGGAGGAATGAAGATTATTGAAGGTCAGGAAATGCAGGGCCAGACTAACTCTACCATCTCCCCTTGCAGAGTCTTCCAGGGGAATTAACGCCTGTCCCCTGTGTAATTGTAGCATTTTGTACATGTTTCTTATAGCACTAACTCAAGGTACCATGAAAAATGCATGGGCCCATTTCTCCTCTCTCCCTGTGACGTGCCTGAATCACTGAAGATATTAAGTAAGTATCTGCTGCATGCACAAATGTGTAGGTAAATGGACAAATAAATGCAGTCTGAGTCTGTGGAGCAAATGTGTTGAAGCACCACTGGGAACAGTGTTGCTTAAATTAGTAACACAGGAAATTCTGGCTGCAAAGGAGAAAAAGCTCTGAAACTTTATGGGAGAAGGGGGAGGAGAGGGAGAGGGAGAGCGGGGCAAGAGAGTCCCCAGCCTTTCAGTCTGCGTTCCTCTTGGACGTCCCAGGCCAGCCTTAATCAAATGACAGCCACAGGAGAGACTGCAAACAAGACCAGCTGAACCATCCAGCTGAGAACCCATCGCCATGGAATCGTGACCGGTAACTCAGTAATTGTGTTGTTTTGAGACACTATGTTTTGCTGGTTTGCTCTGCAGCAATAGATCCCTAAAACACTTGCCCTCAAGAAGCTAAATGTATAGAGGAGGATCAGCCAAGCAAACAAAAAATATCCCACAAGGAAAAAGGCTAAATAAAATCTGCACCACTCCTGGACTCTATGCAGACCTTTTTCTCATTTCCAGGAAAATGGAACTTGTACTTATGTGAAAGAACAGCAGAGAGCATCCTCTAGCACCCACAAAATACCTTAACAACCACCACCACCACCTCCAATAAAGTCCTGAAGGCAACAAACACTCATTTCCCTGAAGGTGGGTTAGGATCAGTCACGATTTGCAGAGTCAATAGGAAAGGAAAAAAGACAGTCAGAGACTTAGAGTCATTACAAAAGAAAATCTTCCGTGAGGTTGAGAACGAAGTTACAGACTTACCTTCCCAACTTCTGCTTTTAGATATCCACTACTAAATTAGGAGATGTGTGTGTGTGGCCTTCCCACATAGACTCTGCCGTGGTGGTGGCAGAGGTCATGTCCTTGAGGGGGTGGGGAGTTGCCTTCATCTCTCACAGCTCCCTGTGCAGCGCTGCCCCTAGCAGGCTCTCAGTAATCCATAATGCATGGACCATCACCATTAGCTGACCCACCTTTTAATCACATGAATCATGAGGTCAACCCTATGCAACAGAAATATGACAGGTCTTGTGCAGAATTTTAAATCTTCGAGTAGCTACATTTTAAAAAGTAAAAAGAAATGGGTAATTAATTTTAACATGTTTAGTTTAACCTAACATATTCAAAATGTTATGTTAGCATGCAATTAATATAAATAATTATGACCAAGATATATTTCATTCTTTTTTTCATACTAAGTCTTCGAAGTTTGGTGTATATTTTATACCCGTGACACACCTCAGTACCTCTTATTCACATTTCCAGGGCTCAGTACCCACATTGCTCAGTGACTACTGTATCCAACAGCACAGAACAGATTCATAATAGACTGGCTGCTGTCAAATTCCTCTCAAAAATATTACTAGCCATCAGAGAGATGCAAATTAAAACCACAATGAGATGCCACTTCACACCGGCCAGTATGGCCATCATAAAAAAAATCAACAAACAACAAGTGTTGGAGAGGTTGTGGAGAAAAGGGGACCCTAGTGCACTGTTGGTGGGAATACAGACTGGTGCAGTAACTATAGAAAACAGCATGGAATTTTCTAAGAAAACTAAAACTGGATCTGCCTTTTGACCTGGCAATTCCACTGCTGAGAATACACTCTAAGAATCCTGAAACATAAATTCAAAAGAAGCTATGCACCCCATCCTTCATAGCAGCACAATTTACAATAGCCAAGTGCTGGAAGCAACCTAAGTGCCCACCAGTAAATTAGTAGATAAAAAAACGGTGGTACATTTACACAATAGAATACTACAAAGCAGAGAGAAAGAAGGAGCTCCTACCCTCCATCACAGCATGGATGGATCTGGAGAGCATTTTACTAAGTGTAATAAACCAGGCAGCAAAAAACAAATACCATATGATCTCACTTATAAGCTGAACCTGATCAACAAAACAAACAAGCAAGCAAAATATAACCATAAACATTGAAATGAAGAACAAACTGACAATAACCAGAAGGGAATGGGGAAAGGGATAATGGGGAAAATAGGCAAAAGATCATGAAGGAACATGTATAAAGAATCCATGGACAAAGCCAAAGGGGGCAGGATCAGGGCTGGGAGGTGGGGATGGGTGGGTCGAGGGGAGTAGAGGAGGGAAAATGGAGACAACTCTACTTGAAAAGCAAAAAAGAAATAAAATTAAAAACAATGTATTGTTCTCATGTTGAAGCTTCACAATCATTATCTTTACTGAAAAGTGACTTGGCAAATTATTTTGTCTCCTTTCATTTAGCTTTATAATGCATCTCAGCAAAAGCCAAAGGGTTTTTTTTTCCCACAAGAAAAAAAAGTGTGCTTGAAGATTTCAAATACAACCATCATATATATTCATAGCTATTTTGATTTCTGCAAAACTCTTATTAAGAAGGCACTAAAAATATTCCTTGAAAGTTAAATTCAAATTTTCAGAAGACTCGGAAAATAAGAGTTCGACTGAATTTTATGCATGCTTAGCTCTCACTCTATCACCCTGATTCTTCATAATAGAAGCAAAGCCACTAAATAGTTCTTTTTGAAATAGCTTTTAGATATGCTTTTGGTAGTGAAAAAACATAAATGTGCTCAGTGAATTTAAATTACTCCCATGGCCTGAACAATAAAGTACAGGTTATGTGGGAGGAACTCCAGCCTGCAGAATTCTCCCATCTACCTCAGATGGTAAATAAGTCGTCCCGGACACAGTCTTGCTGTTCTGGCAGGAAAGAGGGTGGCGATTCCCTCTAGTGGAGAACGTCCTGAGCCCTTCTCCCAAATGGCTTTTGTTGGGAATGCTATGTGCAGGTGTATACATCATATATGCATAGCTCATCAATCAATGTCTAAAGGCTACAGTCATACAAAAACAGGTATTATCTACAGATAACAATTGAAGGAACACACATTTGTCATAGGTCGGGGTCTGTTAGTCATGCTGACTCCAGAGGGTCTTTAAGACGTATTTCATGAGATAAGGAGTTTACTCCTATGCTTTGAACTTAAACATCCAGTTTGTATCACCAGAGCCATACAAAACAAAGCAGAGCAAGCTTCAAAGGATACAATATGATTATCAGGCCTGATTCCCAAAGGAACCCTTGGTGTTAGAGTCAAGTCATGCTTGCCACCTGCATTTTCACCTGGTTTTCCAGGGAGATTTACTAGCCCCTTTCAGGGCTGCCCGTGCAGGGCTGCAGTCTCAGAAACCACACAGAGTGGTCCCCAGCAAGGTTATATAGCAAACAGAGGAGGTAGTGGAAGAAAATCAAGATTGTGATCATATTTTGGGCTGAAGCTGCTAGTTAAATCATTTAAGTGTCTCTATCTCTGTTGTATATCTTGTCAAAATGAAGGCACTTCAAAGTTGAATCATTGAGTGATTTTTCAATCTGTGCTTATTTCCTAAACAAAACAAATAAAAAGCAATTATACTGAGGCTTGCTTACACAGTTCTGCCTAGGCCTCTACCCAACCTCTCAAAGGAGTGCCTCTGAGGGGTAGCATGACACCTTGGGCAGGACCTGAACTCAGCGAAGAATGATCTCACATTTGCCACGTGGACCAGGTGGCTTCACACAATGTTCTCTAACTGAGGCTCTTCTGTGACCAAGGAAGGCCATGGCAGCTACAAGAGCGGAGTATGTCCAGAGGCCTGAGAACCCAGTGAGAGTCCCTAGGCACCTGTAAAAAGCAAGCACTGGCTGAAGAGCCGGTTCTCTGTCCTGTAGGGAAGAAGAGCTGGAGGAGTCCATACACAGCCAGCCAGTGCTTTCTCGCTTGGGAAGAAAGTGAACACAAAGCCCAGGAGCACTCCAAGGAATAAAGGAATATCCCTTGGAATCAAGCCCTGGCCAGTGCAGCTCAGTGGATTGAGCGTGGGCTTGTGAACCAGATGGTCAAGGTTCAATTCCCAGTCAGGGCACATGCCTGGGTTGCGGGCCAGTTCCCAGCGGGAGACACACGAGAGGCAACCATACCTTGATATTTCTCTCCCTCTCTCCTTCCCTCCCCCTCTAAAGATAAATGAATAAAATCTTTTAAAAAAAGGAATATCTCTTGGAATCAAGAAATACAGTCCAGTGTTTTAAAAGTCCACAGGGAACTCTTTATGCCATACATTACAGGTATTCTAAGACAGCGCAGAATTACTAAGAGAATACAACTGTGTGGGATGGGGTGTCATCTTTGCCGATATCCTGTTTGATCATAATAATAACATTGCAAAGGCAAAAGATCAAGCCACTTCATGTACAATTTCTGATGAATGTTGAGTTGGCACTTTGCAAATGAAGAGAATATGAATCAGACAGCCTTTGCTTTTGAGGGCGCAAGGATCCTCATTAAAGGGAGACTGCAGGTTGAAACCCTGGAGCAGTAGGAGCCGTCTATTTCCTTCAGCTGGGAAGGAAGACAGAGGCCAGCACCCCCGGTCTGCCTGTGTTCCTGCTGCTGCTCTGGGGAGTGGGGTCTCAAGGCTTTCCAGTGACTTCAGACACACAAAATCAAGAGATGGAGACGGTCTAGGTAAATGCTGAATTTCACATGCCCGAAACGTAAGAGCATGGGCTTTACCTCCATCTTGGAAAAGAACATCAACTTTTCTGTCAATTTCAGGGAAGTCATGTTATCTCCTTGGGATAACTTCCATCCTTGGACTGCATATTTTTATCATACCTGGCAAGAAAATTAGAAACATCAGAATGTGTGATTAATATAATAGCAATAAATAACAACACTCACAAAGGACTTTCCATGTGCCAATCTAAGTGCTTTGTGTATACTGATTCATTTAGTCTTCAGATAAATCTGAGAGGTAGGTGCTGCCTTTACCTTCATTTTGCATAAACCCAATGGCTGCTTAAAACAGTTGTGGGCAGGTGCATCACTGGCATGAAAATTATAAAGGGTCCTGGTTCTATTGGTTATGGTATTGGTGCAGACTGGACCACCTCGAAAGTGACATCACTCTAAAAGTCTGATTCATATTTATCTCGGGCCCCACAATCTGCCCTGTGAAGGAGAGGTGCTACAGGAAGAGGCTGCTTCTAGATGCCTCTGCTTTTTGTCTCCCTTTGAAACTCAGTCATACCAGTCCCTTGTCTTCTCAGGGCAGACAGGGTCTGAAGATAACAGGTAGGGGACTAATGACATTCAGCCTCACTGTATCCATTTACAGAAGCAGAAAAGCAGTCCAGCGTTATTTAAGAATATTTTTTAAAAGGTGTCTCTCCTCCCACCCGAGTGATCTGATGCCCTAAGATTCCCAAGGGTCAGTCTTTACCTACAATACTCATTAGCAACAAAAAAGTACTTTGTTCCAGTTTTCTCTTCATGAGTAGTATCATCAGTTTTCTTCACTCTTTCATGACGCCAAAGGACCTATACACATCCCTGGGGTATCTGTGCAGCAAACAATTTCTGCCAACAGCAACAAAAAATCAGCCCTGTAAAGGTTTGCCTAGGACTGTAGGTTTGCTCTGGACACTCACTTCACAAAAAGTGGATGGCAGGTTTCATTCCCAAGCGAGGAGGGCACCTGAGTCAGGTATTACCCCTTAGTGTAACCGGCTCCTGGCTCCAGCTGCCCAGGAAGCGTGCCTGGGCATGAGTGGTCCTGCCATTGTCCTGCGTGGCTCTACAATCTTTCTCCATAGCCCTGATGACTTTCTAGCATATCATATCATTTTGTCACTTACTTTGTCTACTGTTCATTGCCAATCATCCCCCAATACAATGGAATCTTCGTAATGGCAGGGGCCGTTGTTAATTTTGTCTTGTTTGTTTTTGTTTGTCTGTTTTACTGATACAATTTAGGATCCAAGTAGGTGCTCCATTAAAAAAAAGTTTTAATAAATTATTGCAAAATTGATGCTAGATGCTGGCAAAGCTGGAAAGTTAATAACAAGGGCTGTGGTCAGCTTGACCAATGCCTGAAAGACTCCTCCTCTGCACCCTCCCCAGCCTGGATATCGGAAAGTTACAGACACAGCAGCAGCCCTCAGAAATGCTCGGAGTCTGCAACAGAATTTCAGAGTGGTCCTTCAGGGGACCATCCATTGATGAGAATGAGGAGTGAGAGTAGCAGGACGCCGACTTTATCACCAAGGGCCATGCCCCGCTTCAGCTGCTTTCGTTCAATCTCAGTCCCTAAAGTAACTAAGGAAACAAGCCAGGACCCAGGCCACGGCCCATCTGAAGAGGCCAGGGAAACCGATAGTCCCATGGAAATACAAGATCACAGGGGAAATACACTTGTAACATATACATCTGAGAAAGAATTTTTATCCAGAATATATGATATTTAAAGGTCCTAGAGATGACCTTCTAAAATGACAAATATCCAATTCAAAGTGCATATAAGTATTAAACAAATCAGACTTTTCACCAAAAAAGACATATAAATGGCCAATAAACACATGAAAAAGTATTTAACATCACTAATTATAAAAAATAAATTTCTTATAAGATACTAACTATAAAACCACTGAAATAATGACTATTAGTAAGACTGACAATATCAAGTCTTGATGAGGAGCTAGAATATCTAGAACTCTTGTACAATATAGAAATTGTTCTTAAAATTAAATACCTATCTACCCTATGACCTCTTCTACATATTTTCCCAAGTAAATAAAAACATAAATATGCAAGAAATTTATTCAAGAATGTTTGTAGCAGCTTTATTTCACGGTAGCTCAAATCTAGAAACATATTCATAGGCCATTACACAAAAATGAAAGTGAATAATCTACCAGTATACAAAACAACATAGATTAATGTAGAAAACATTATTCCAGGCCAAAAACAAAAACAGGCGCCACAGAGTATACATTTTGATTCCATTTATATCAGCATTATGATTCGGAAAAGAAATATATATGGAAAAAATTAGAACAGTAGTTGACCGCTGGGAGAGGTTGGGATTGGCCGAGAAGGGTAGTGAACTTCCTAGGGCGCCGGAAGGTTTTGCTTCTTGGTGAGGTGTGGGTTACATTAGCGGACACATTTGTGAAATTCCCTGAAGTCAGTGCACTTAGGATTTGGGCACTTCACTGTGTGTCGATATCTCAAAAATATATTTAAAAGAAACTAACAGAAAGCAAAGTCTTAATATCTTTTACTAAAACAATTAAAAACCAAGGTTTATAAATCTTCTCACAGAAAAAAACACTTGACCAGATAGTTTTGCTCATTCATTTTGCCAAAAGGTCCACTTCAAGGGGTAGATGATGCCAAGCTTCTGCAAAGTCTTTCAGAGAAAGAAGTGCCTACTATCACCATATGGCACATGTGGAGGAACTTTCGGCATTTTTTATTATACTGGGAATAAGAGAAGAGTGCCTACTACCACCGATACTTGCTCAACATAGTCCTGGAGGACTGGCCAAAAGTTAAGATGAAAAATAACAACAGGTATAAGGATTAAAAGAAAATAGCCCAAATTATCATTATTTGCTGCTAATCTAACCATTTACATACAATAAAACCCAAATAATCAAAATTCTTCAGAAAAGAGAGATAATTCAAGGTTCCCATGAATAACACCATCAAAATAATTTATGTCCTATATACACAAAATTAACAAGTAGGTAAAAAAATAAACAATAAAATACTACCAGGTACCTTAAAAATCTATGATCTATCCAGGAAATAATCAAGCAAGAACAGAACAACAACTTAATAAAACTTAAGACCCTATGAGAGATATACAAGAAAAACTGAATATCATATTCATGTATAGAATGACTTAACACTCTAAAAATGACAATTTCCCTGAATTAATTTATAAATGCAATGAAACTTTAACTAAATGCCAAAAGGATCATTTGGGAAACTGATTTCCAAGTTTTTATGGAGGAAAAAATACACAGAAGCAGTTAAGAATTCTGACAAAATGCAAAGGATAAGGGATCCCACCAGCCATTGGACAAAGCCACTGCGGTACCAGGAGTGTAGAACTGGTCATAGATGGGAGCTAATGGAACTCAGTGCATGTCCAGAAACATGTCCTTGGTATGATAAAGACGGCATCATAAATTGGCGAGAAAATAATGAATTATTAAATAAGGATTTGGAGAAAACCGATACGCTCTATGGAAAGAAATAAAGATGGATTGTGTTTCTCACCAGGAGTTCATGATCAATACTCTCTACCATTCATTTCCAGTTCTTCCTCTACTGGACACATGGAGGGGTTACAATTTCTAGCCTACTTGCAGTAGATTGGGGGCCACATGACTAGTTCTGGCAATCCATTGTGAGTGATGACATGTGGCTCTTCTGTGCTGGAACATTTAATTGCTTGTGCAAAACACTTCAAACATCTTTTTCCATTCAACATAGCAACCAATGGAGTTCAAGATCATGGCTCCTCTGGAAGCCTGGCCATCAGAGTCACATCTATGAGCACAGCCCCTCCGTCCACTGGTAATGGACATGAAGCAGGAGCAAGAAGTAAACTTTTGTTGCTTTAAGAGACACTTGAAGGACTTGGGGATTATAATCACAGGATAATTTAGCCCATCCTGTTTTATGACATAAGTCACGTACAAAATTAAGCTTTAAATAAAGTTAAGATCTCAATATGAAAGGTAAAACTATAAAAACAATAGAATATTTTGCAACCTTAAGGTGAGGAAGAATATCACAAACAATATCAAAAGGCATAAATATGAGGGGTAAAGTGGACAGATTTGACTATATTAAAACTAAAGAATAATATTAAATGAGGGAAATCAAAAACAGAGGCAAAGAAAAACTGAAAAACAGAGAAGGTACTTGCAACATAGAAAACTCGGGAAAGATTAATATGTGGGCTATACAAGGAATTCCTGCAATTCAACAAGAAAACAATAAGGAACACGGTTTAAGAAAATAAGTTGATAATTAACAGCAGGGGAGACCTAGGTAGGCAAGAGAATATGAAGAAATATTTACTCTTTTTTTAAAAAATATTTTATTTCTTTATTTTTAGAGAGAGGGGAAGGGAAGGAGAAAGAAAGGGAGAGAAACATCAATGTGTGGTTGCCTCTCACATGGTCCCCACTGGGGACTGGGCCTGCAACCCAGGCATGTGCCCTGACTGGGAATTGAACTTTGACCCTTTGGTTCACAGCCCGCACTCCATCCACTGAGCTACACCAGCCAGGGCAGAAATATTTACTCTTGATTTCAATTGGGAAAATAGCAATGTAAACAAGATACAAATTTATACCTGTAAAAATGACAGAAATTAGAAGTTTCAGTAATATTAAAGTGCTGGTAAAAGCATAGGAAAAATGATCGCAGCTGGTAGGAGTGTTAATTGCCACAACCACTGTGAAGCAAAATCTGGCTGCACTGTAAGAGTGCCTATGCCCTCACCCCCGTAATTCCACTCCTGGGCATTAACTCTGAGCAGAGTCCATGGGAGACCTGTAGTAGGATACCCGCCAATGAACTATGTGTGAGAGCAGGGACAGCAGCAGTCTGGGTGGCCTTCATTTAGAACCTGGTAAACAGGATGGAGATGTGCGTCTCTGAATTAAGGCCTCGCAGCCATGAGAAGTGGTGTACTGGAAAGCCTGCCTGTACAGCAGCCTGGACAAAAAATAAAGTGTTGGTCAAACAAACAAGATACAGAATGAAATGTGAAGTGCAAGGCCATGCATTAAAACAAATAAAGTCCACACACA